TGACACTAATTTTTATGTGGTAACTACTTGTGACAAAAAATTGACAATTGTTTTGTCACAGTTTGTGACATATTTGTGACAATATTTTTCGTCACAAATTGTGTCGTTTCTGTGACTMATTTTATATCGTCACAAATAGTGACGGTAACATTGTTACCGGTGTTAATCGTCACAAAATCTTGTGACATTTTTGAGACTGAAATGGATTTGTGAAAATTCTGTTGTGACATTTTAGAATTCGTATCATTTTTGTCACAATAAAAAATCTGTGACGAAATATTCATACATTGTTACCAAAAAATTGTAACAATAGTGACATTCTTGTAGTGATTGTTAAAAGTGTACCATTTGATGTTGTCTTTCTCTTTTACTCCCGAGAATTACATGAGAACATACATGAGCATGATTGAGCTCATCTTCCACAGTTATTGTCTCGGGCATCGAATACTGTTTGTGAATAACTTATTCCGATCAAAGACTGGAGAGAATGAATATCTAAATTTTTCACTCATTTGTCGTCTCTAGTCTCTTTAGCTTTAATGTTGATGTGAGGAATGTAATAGTTCGAGATCAAATCTTCACGATAAACTCGGCCCGGTACAGATATTGATCCACCATGTTTTGAAAAATGAAAAGAAGTACTTTTTTGTTTGATAAAAAAATGAAAAAAAGTATAAGAATTGAAATTACATAACAAATAAGAAAGTTCACTTATAAGTTATACAGATCAACCTTTTGGATTGTTCAAGATATGAGTGAATACGGTGACTCATAATCAAAAGCAACAAGCAACATTAACCTTTTGGATTGTTCAAGATATGAGTGAAAATGTTCCACATTCAAACAGTATAGTGCTACGAAACCAAATGAGACACATAAATAAAAATCGTGAAGGGAAGACAAATAAAAAAAAAATTCCTCGACCGATAGATATATCAATATGACGAGTAGGTATCTCATATACCTATTGGGTTTGTTAATCACAAGTGATAACAAAAACTTGGTGGAGGTGTAAGAGAAATCCAGTGGTAAGCGTTAGAACTCTTTCACTAATCCAGTTGCTCTTCAATAAAGCATTCCTACTTATTTTATCGAACATTCAAATTATATGCATAAGAAATAAGTTAGATGAGAGTAATTGTTTGTTACAAAGTAACTCACCAACTTTAGTCTTTGATTGCTTCACAATGATCTTTTTGTAAATGCTTCTCCAGTTTGGCTAGCAAATTCGACATGACATGTGTCCCTAACAAAACATCCACTCCATTCTTAAACAAACCATATTCTTTTTGTGAGCTCGTAAAGCTACTACATTTAACATTTGAGAGCCTCAATAAGAGTTTTTCAATCTGTCCACAGGTCACAAACAAACCAGGATGCTGCTCGTCGGTGACCTGTAACACCCAAACACACACACACAAAAGTAAAAATGAAGACTTTCTAAGTCTGAGAACAATCATAATTGAGAAAAAATGTGTGAAAAGTTTCAACCTGTTGATTGTATACGACTCTACAAATGACATCTTCTCGATGAGCCATGCTTGTCCGAGCACTCATCCTCCGTTTCCCTTGACCAAATCTCTTCATCTACATAACACAATCAAACGAATGCTATGGATAAAGATAAGCATGTCTATTTTTGAAGATCTACAACGAAAATGAACACAAACCCTTCCCAAGAATGTCTTATCCTATGGAAAATCATCAAATAACAAAAACTCTTAGGTAAACAAAAGGTCTAGACTTTGGATCACGGGTCGATGGAGACTCCACCAACCAATAGAATGGAGCTCTTGTATGTTCTTCATTCAGAGTAAATGAAAAAATATTGAGAATACCCAATACATAAATCCTAGAAAGATATTTACCTTATGCCAACCCACATAAAATGACAAAGAAGTTGCATGCATCTTTTCCTCAATAACATCTATTAGATTGAGTTTCGTAATATACCTTATGTCTGTGATCACCAAAAATAATTTTGTTATCAAGGGTGGGTTTTTTCATCATGAAGAAGTTCTAATCTCTCTGTACTTGATGTTGTCGGAAGACCATATTTGACATTTACTTATCCGAGATTTTCGCTTTCAGGTACTTTGCGTCTGCTCATAAATGGTTTGTGTCTCGGCGGTTGATAAAATTAATCTCTGTACCATCGACAAAACCTAGTGGAAATTGTATATTCAATCTCTGTATTTTTGATGTGCTTGAAAAGAGCAGAGGTACACTGATTTTCTCTACAATCTGAAATCCACCAGCATCGACGTGGTGCCTCCAACGCCATCCATATCCTTTTCCGATCAGAATCTCTCTCTCAGTCTTCATGAATCATGATCAACGATTTCATGGTTCAAAGTAATAAATGAAACTAAGTTCAGGCGTAGGTTCTCGATGAATCATTAGAACGGCCGATTTACTTTTTTTTTTTTTTTGAAGAATGCCACGTGTCAGCTAAAGAAGCTGTTACATGTGGTCGAGATGGCGAGTGCTGGCCTCTTTTATATATTAATTAATAGCATTGAGCTTGGTTGTGTTTGTATTTCTTTTTTTTTGGCATCTAACTTTCAATATTATAAACGAACTTCAACGTCACACAGTTCCAGCAAGGTAATCAAAGGACACACCCAAAGATTACAAGCAAAAGGGGACCAAACAAGGGTCATCAGGACACCTTTTAGAGTAGTATATAT